TTATGAATGCAAATGTCATATGGTTCTAAATTTGGAGCATTAAGCTTTTGATGGATTGGAGTATATGAATTTTTATAAGAAGTTCTTAATGAAGAAAGAACTAGACGTTAAAGTAGGCCTCTAAATCAATTTTCTTAATTTTCTAAGCTTAATGGAGCACAAAGCCCATACAAATTATGAGAGTAAAGAAAGACTCTATATGCCTCGTATATCATATATCATATCTCGTCTGTCACAGGATGTGTGTGTGCATGAGTAAGAGTTGAAATTAGTGGCAGTGGCATGAAATTCTAGTGAAAGGGCCTTCTTCCACTAAAACCAGAAGTTCTTTAACACTGTGTTTCAGCAGTTCAATGCCATTACAAATTTCTGGGTGAGCTTTATGCCATCTTTAATTTCCCATTTATGAGAAATGCCCCAGAACCTGTGAATACCTGGTTTCTTTTGAAGAGGAGAAGCATATTGTTTGAGAGGGCCTGAAGTCTCTTTTCCTACTGATTTGCCAGGAAAACTGGAAGCAATTAAATATTCCTGATTCTTTTTCTGACTTTATCCTGGCATTAAAAATGTGTGAGCTTCATGAGAAAAACAATATAGAGCATGTAATCCACTGTATATTATGGTTTCTTTCTAAATTTGTAGTAACCAGAAACTGCAAAGAAATGCACATCAAAAGAAAGAAATTCCCTGATGTATCATTTCTATTTGAATTTATTATTTTGTGTAAATACACTACCTACACCTTGATGTTGGGTCATAAAACACTGATGATGTGGGTGAAGTGGAAAAGCAGGTTAGATGTAAGTACATTGTTTCTCAAATAGACCATGGATCTGGAGACTTTTAGTTAGGCCAAGGAGAGGAAGATAAACAGTCATCAAGCAATTTTATTGTGCATTTGTCTTTGCCTTAGATTTAATTCGGTACCCACTTGGATTGTTAGAACTTCACTAAAAAGCCCTGCTTCTTTATTTGGTCTTCATATTTATTTGTTCTTTGGTGATTACATTTATGGAAAGTTTACTCGGGAGGAGTTTCTTAGAGAGTGATGTGGTTTGATGGGGGCAAACATCAAGTATTTGGATGTCGTGACCAAAAAAAAGCCAGAAGGAGAAATACTTGTTTGAATTTGAGGGTGTTTTTTTTCTAGACTAAAATGAAAGAACAGGATGAGTTTGTGAAGCCTCTGATGGAAACATCATACGTACTTGGCTCCACTGAAGTAACTTTATTGATTTGTTCAGTGAAATCGTCCTTGCAGACCAGGATCTAAGTGATGAAGTTTAAGATTTATAGTAACTTGGTCAGCCAACTTCGAAGGCTGAAACTATAGCCAGACCCTGCTTTATGTTAATATTTTTAAGCCAAAAGGTCAAAACAAGCCATTCCAAGCTTGCAACGAATTTAGAGCATCTAAAGCCAACTGAAACACTGCAGATATTTGCTGTAGTAATGTCTGTTTTTTCTCTTTGGCTCATGGAAAGTCACATGCTCTCAAACTCCAATATGAATTGCCAGATTCAGTAGGTGCTTATTTTTCTATGTAATTTGGTGACTTATTTCCTAAGAAATATCCTTCGTATTCAAAAGTATTTTTCTGTTCACTTCCTTCCCATAGAATAGTATTTCTATGTTGTCTAGTATTTCAGGAAAAAAGGCAGTAAAATTTAAGACTATACTCTTGTATCTTCTAGGCCAGTCAAACCCGTTGGTCAGTCATATGGAATGAAACAAATTCCAGACAATATGGAATGAATTGCCATCATACCATGTACACTTGATGGCACAGTCGCTTTCAGGATACATGATCATTCTGAGGATTTCTTTGAAGTTCTAATTTTTATTTTTTTTTCTTAATTTGAGTAAAATACACATTAAGAACACTTTCAGATAAAAATTTAGAAGTGCTAGGTGAAAATGTGTCAGGTTTTTTGTTTTGTTTGTTTGTTTAAATATCTGTGTTTATTTTTGCTAGTTTGGTACAAGCATCTATACACTTGGGAGCAAAGCTTGCCTTTAAACTGTTGGTAAAGCTCTGTTGTGAAACTGAAAGAGAATATACTTAGTAACAGGATTTTTTTATTTCCATAGCCTTGTACCATAATCAACAACTCAGTTGTGTAATTGACTGCATAGTAAACACCTTCACTATCCTGGCATATGAAAGAGAGGGGCAGTTCTGTTACATAAAAGCAGTAGAGTATATACTATCCTTAAAAAAAGCAGAACACACTATTTGTTTGGAGTGTAGGAGGATGGAGTTTTTTATACTAACTTTGACCTTTATATATGCCTTGAGGGAGCAAGGTGTTCATGGAGCTTCATGGAAGCGTTTGGGGCTGATTGGGAACTGAAGTATATCTTGCCTTTCTTGCTGACCACAAAAGCACATCTTAAGACAGTGAAAGAAAACTTCCTCAGACTTTTAAAATACAAACATAGTTGCTTATGCTATAAATTGCAAATCAGACTATGAAGAGTAACTCCTCCCCTCAGTTTACATCCTCTGAGTGCAGCAGTGAAGGAGGGGAGGGGAGCGGAGCACGACTCTGTCCCTTAGCAGGTTTGGTGTGGTTTAGGGTTTTTCTGAATTTATTATCATTTTTTTAATGTAAGGTGATCTGGGGCAATGTCCCAACAGTGAGAAATGACAAATAACCCTTGGGGCAGGTAGCACCACTCCTTGCTTTGGTGGAAAAGTTTGGTGTGTGCTTGTGCAATACTTAATTATCCCACTTGCATGATCGTGCAGAGCTGAAATTTGCACTAACTTGTATTTGCTCAGGTTTTGTTACAAGATAAATAACACTTTATATATATATTATATATATATAAATATATATATACACACTGATATTATACTAAAGTCTACTTAATGCTTTTTAGATATTAGGTGACAACTGAAAAATTGTCCAGTTTTTCCATCAGCCCACTGAAGAGCATGATGAACAGCTTTTAATTTTTTCAGTGTAAACTTATGCTTTGATTTACAATGTTAATTTGTGCAGCTTTTGACAAGCACCAAGTATTATTCTATACCTATGAATATTGCTTGTATTACTTCAATTTAATTTTTTTAAAGCAGGTTAAGATTTAAAAGTTGGTGGGTGTTTTTCCCTTTCTGTATAAATGTTCTATTAAAAACATTTGTGGTTTAAGATTTAAAGATTTTTTTTTTTTGTCTTTTAATAGGTGAATGTCTATGTGCTGGGAAAAACTTTCCTTCTGTTGGCCAGAGAACTCTGCATAAATGCTCCAGCCATAGGTATTTTTTTTTATGCGTTGACTTTTGAGTATTTGAGTGTATTTTCTGCATGGTTACTTGACAAGAATATATATGTATGTGTGTCATATATGCATAGTATTGTGTGCTAAATACCAAAGTGGTAACTTAAAAATGAAGCTGGAATCAATCCAGGCAGAAGAGCATTGCTGACTATGAGAGCCTGTTCTCCTTTATGTAAGAGTTTTTTTGGGAGCTAGATGCTATTTGTTGCTTTTTTTGAGTAGTTTGGGCCAGACTAAGACAATGGGCTGATGTACAATTTGTGTGCATCTGCAAGCGCACACAGGCCTGTCACTCTTCAGTTCCAGAGATGCAACATTTGATAACTATTATTTGCCAAACTTACTATCAGTCCATCACCTATAGCTGAGGTGTTCAGTGCCTGAAATACAGGTGGCTTGATGGAAAATGAGGAGCAACTTCATAACAGTGATAGGAAGGTGGGTTTTAACTTGTCAAAAGGGCAAAACCCCTATTGTCTATGCTGTAACTTTTAAGCCGAGGGAATTCATGCCAAAGAGAGTGCATTTATAGAGAGGTCTTACGACTGTTACCCACCTCTGCACAGGAATCTTCTTCCTGTATCTTTACCCACTCTCACTCTCCTTAATCTGTACTGAGAGAACCAGATGGTTTTGTGTTCAAGAACACCACATGCACAAGCGTTCAGAGGCATTCAGCTGGGCATGTAACTGCCTGCCTTTGCAGCAAGAGAACCAGCAGCTTACATACTGAGCATTGTCATAACAGCATCCAGATAGTACGTGGCAGCGCTCAGCTATTGGCCATCGTGGCGCGCTGGCTTTGTTAGCGTAGCTTGATGTCTGGAAGAAAGTTGGTTTTAGTAATTTGGTTTCCTTCTTATTTTTCATTACTTTTTTTTTTTTTAAAGACAGACTAGGTAGAATTTGTATTGCAGCTTAATTTCAAGGTGAAAGTATTTTTAATAGGCTCATCTGTAGTGATTGTCAGACCCTTGAGAAAAACACCTACTTTTAGTGCTCTTTGAGAGAAGTGAAGGGTACTAGCTATAAAATGAGTGCTGACAGTGGATGGGACTGTATTTTTAGGAAAAATAGGGGGAAAGGAGAGATCAAGCAGCTTTTATTTAAGGTGGTTTATTTCTAATAATTTTGAGTGAACTTAAGACCCTATTACAAGTATTTCTAATATCTGCTCCTAAATGTGAGATGGGGTGTATGTTTAGATAGGAGCTGCCAATATTGCAGCTCTGGGCTAAGGCTGGGATGAAGCCCGTCATTGCATTAAGCTTTGTCCATATGTCTTGACTCTGTCCCTTCAAGTGGAGTGCAGTTTGACAGGTGAAAGTGTCAGTGCTGCTGTTTGCTGGGAAGGCTGGAGGATAATGCAGATGATGCGTGTAAATGGGCAATAGAAGCTTTCAAACATAACCACAGGATGATTTTGATCAACTTTGATTACACTCCTGGTTTGTCTCTGTTCAGCTTACGCAACACACAAAACACCCTGAGCTTCCACATATGTCAGCTCCCTTTTCTGTGAAGGGAAAAATAAAGGCTGCTGATGAATTCTCAGTTACCAGGCAAAGGAACCTTTGCATTTGAGGTGAGAGCTCATGCCCCGTATAGATGCATACAGGGGACAGACTACAGCATCACCACCCCTGTTAACTGTACTGTAGATGAATTAACAGACATGAGCCATAAGATCAGCAATGATCAAGTACACAGGATTTAGGGCAAGTAAAAATGTTTTATATTTCACAGATTTGTAAACTGCTCTAGTTTAGAACATTCTGTTTAAGTCAGCTGCAGTCTGCAAGTTAGTTATCTATATACAAAATAAATGCACAGTACGTGCGAAATTTAACATTTTTCTGCTTGTTGCAGTTTTAATAATTAAGTCAAATAGCTTATGAATAAATAAAATAAGATTAAATTCAAGAGCATTCCTTCACTTATTTGTATAGCCTGATGTAGCAGATAGGTAAGTAGCGTAACATTCCATACTGCTGCAGAGTTTGTAGTACAACTGAAAAAAAAAAATCCCTTAATGTGCATCATTGCAGTACTGGAATACAATCAAAGTTGAAATGCATCATGCATAGAAAATGAGCTCAGGTATCTGTCCTCCTTGTACTCCGGTTCCATTAGTACTGTCCGAGGAGCACTGGAACTGGAACGTCACTTTCCCGCACTGCACTTCAGTCATTCCCTCTTGCCCAAAGTAACTGAGTTCGTTACCATCAAGAATAGCACTTACATTGTAAAATGTGTCTTGCTCAACCTGCACAGGGTGTTCAAACCACACAGAGAAAGTGTTACTGGAGCCGTCAGAGGTAAACTTTGTCAGATTTTGAGCAAGGACAACTCCTAACCGCTTCAGTTCAATTTTGACGCTGTATTCAGCTTTGCCACAGCTCGACCCATACAATCCCAGTCCTGCTATAAATATCCGTTTGTCTACAGCAAACTGAATACTGTCACATCGCCCTCGGTACCTCCACTGATTGCTGCGGTATGCAGACGACTGAAACCGATGGCATCGCTGAGGTACAAGTCCTTTTCTTTTTGTCAGTGGAAACTCTAGTTTGGGTTTATTTGCGGCTGTGTACCATAGGAATATGTTGTGAGTTTCCTCAAGGGTGAGGATGTCAGACTGGGCAGCTCCGTTGGCAAACTCTTCCAAAGTCATGGTTGGAATCCGCACCAAGTACAAAGCTTTACCTAATACATTCCTCTTGTTGCGCGGCGTAACCGGCAGCCCTTGCCTTTTGCATTCAGCCTCTGCCCAGTTGAGAACAGCTTCGAAAACTACCACTTCCTTGGTGTTGAGGGCCTCCCGGGTTACAATGATTTCTAGTGTTTGTTGATCTATCTCACAGAAGCCCTCTGACTTCAGTGCCATTTCTGCTTGAGCATCAATCACTTCCCAGCAGCGCTGCGTCAGCTCTGGCTCCTCAAAGAGCCTGCTCTGAGACAGCAGGACACAAGCGTTCTTCGCTTCTAAACTGGTCTCCAGAAAATTCACGCAAGCCTTTGCTAGGGCCGGCACGATGTACTTCTTGGCAGCGTACAGCGTAGCCAGAACAGTGTCAGCTTCCAGGTCTATTTCGTCACTATACATGTATCTAGATGGAGAAAAAAATTATAGGCCATGAAAGATTGATCTATGGTCATCTTTGCTGGCAGTGAATCTGACATTCAGTATTTGTCAGCACATTAAGTAAACAGTAATAACTGCATATTGCACAATGCCAATTAGGAGATGTCTATTTTATAAGCTACTTTGATTCTGTCCACGTAATTAGTAGACTTGTAGTGGGCACTTACTTTAATAGGATTAGAAAGGCTGCAGGTTCCACATCTGGTATATGGATTTCGGATTTGACCTCTGCAAGATCGCCATAAAACATAGCGTAGAAGACAGAGCTACCAACTGCCAAAACATACTGGAAAATAAAGAGAGAGAAGCCTCAGTAATACGTACTGGTAATAGCTGAGCGTGCTGGCTTTCGATAAGAGCTACGCTTAGGGAAAGTTAAAAGCTGCAGCGGAGGCAGAAGACTGCCTTACGACTGTTCCCTTTAATTGCAGCCTATGTGAATTACTTCTGGGATTAGAAGAGAGCTGTAATTAGGAAAAAAAAGTGGAACCTGTAAGGCAGGGGGAGAAGGCGACATGCACAGCATTAAAAAGCCAAAAATTATCTGCACAAACCTTATGGGCAGGAACTTTCTTGGACGCCCCTGGCGGGCCCACGATGAAGTGGACGTCGGCCATGAGTTCGTTATTGAACATCAGCGCGTTCCTGCAAGCGAGGGGAGGGGGGGAGAAGCCCCGTTAGCCGCCGGCA